CCTTAACCATGTCTAAATTTCTCCTCACTCCTTCGCCCAGCCATAGCCCTGTTCCTGGCCCCAGTTCTGGGGAGCTGGGGGCATGGAGAATAGTAAGGGAGGGTAAGATGTGAAATCCCTAGGTGGGAACCCCATGCTTGCAGCACCCCTACTGCAAAAGTTCCAACACCAATGTCACTGGGGGCCAATCTTCTCCCCAGCACCCAGCCTGAATGACATGACACCGACTCCCTCCACGCCCAACCACCAGTGTGCATGACGCACGCCTGGAAGCTCAAAGCCTGAACAAAGGAAACCACTTACGGTGCTTCCTTAAGGACACTTAGCAACCTGCTCTGCTTGGCAATCACTCTATGGCCCAGTAGTACCAGTTCAGATTAGGGCTGTTAAATTGTGAATAATCAGCTCATTGAGTAGGCGATGAAATTTCCAATGACGACTTGATTAGTCAAGTAAGGGGGGTGGGCGTCCACTACCTCTACTGCGGCTCTGCAGTTTAAATGTAATAGGAGCTGGGTGCACAGCAACCCGGCTCCTATTACATTTAAACTGCAAGGTCGCAGTGGGGTTAGCGCTCAGTCCCGGCTTGCGCTGGCCCCTGGAGCCAACCCGCTGTGGCTCTGCCTTAGTGCATTTAAAGACAGGCGCAGGCAGTCCCCACTCACACCGGATCCCCGACTGCTGCAGCTCGGCTTTTTAAATGTAGTAAGAGCTGGTCAGCACTGCTGCACCTCTGCCTCCCCTGCCTCCTCCCTCCAGCCGTCTCCCTCCAGCACCAGCTCCTGCTCCCCTCCTTTGCTGCCTCTGATATAGAGGCAGCAAGGGGGAGGGGAAATGTGAGTAGTTGACTCGATTACCCAATAAGCCTAGGCTTATTGGGTAGTTGACTATTTGACTACTCTTTTATGTCCCTAATTCAGATATGCTTGGATGATCCATGTGCACTCCATTGCACAGCTTCACAGTTCTTACAGAATTATCCTCCCCATAGGGCTGTTGTCACGTACAAGACTAAGGCACTGAGAGCAAATGACTTGCTCAAGGTCCCAAAGGAAGTCTGTGCAAAACAGGAAATAACACAACGATCTCCTGAGCTCTGGTGCTAGCATCCGTACATGACCAGTGCATCCATCCATCTATCTCTCTGCTGCTGGCCCATGCAATTTCTGTCAAGCATGGCTCAAATCCTGACCTCACTGAAATCAATGTGGCCAGCATTTCACCCTACAGTGTTATATGTTGCTCAAGAGGTGGTGAATGATTCATTGCTCTGAGAGCATTGCTGTTGTACGGACACCATAATACTATGATCTCCCTGGAGACCAAAAGGAAGCAATTCTTGTTTGCTGAAGAAAAAGGTATTTTCTGAAAAAGCCGGGTAAAATCTGTATTGG